TCTTTCTATGCTTGTGCTTCTACCCCAAGTGATCCCAGGTAATCAGAGGTCAGGGAAGCTACAAAAATAGAGGTGTAGTGGGTTCTGGCTCATGAGCATTCCAATGTGTCACTTACCCCCTAACCTGGGCAACTCCACAGCTCCCACACTGGGACTATGTTCCTGACTGGGGTAAAACCTGGGAGTAGAGCCAGTTATCCTCAATAGACAGAGACACTCCCACCATCCAGAGCTGTCCTTTGTTCTGTATTCCAAGTTGCTACCTAAGGAACTAGAGGAAAGCTAGACTCACTTCTGTTCTCTTTCCAACTTGTGCCAGCTCTTGAAAATGATTCCCGCAGCCCACTTTGCTATGTTTTCTTGGCCCTAAAAGTCCTGCTAGAGCTGTAATGAGGTTCTTTTTGTTTTCTAATATTCTAGAATTTGGTGAACAGGTCAGAAAATATAGGCAGAGCTGTTATATGGAAGACAGAACTGGCTTTTCTTCTTCCTTCTACAGTGGAAGTCTAAGCTTTTCATAATCACTGCTTTCTTAAGTATATCTAAAGGCAAGACCAGAACTTTGAAATCACTGGTGAAGAAGCCTGCTTTCCCCTTTGTTTTATGTTTTTCAAGATGCATTTCAATGTATGATTGAACTTATATAAAAATGAATCAAAATATTTCTGTTTTATAACAAAGTAAGCACACTCTGTACATGGCTATGCAGCACTCTTTTTTTTTTTTTGAGACGAAGTTTCCCTTTCGTTGCCCAGGCTGGAGTGTAATGGTGCGATCTCGGCTCACTGCAACCTCCACCTCCAGGGTTCAAATGATTCTCCTGCCTCAGCCTCCCAAGTAACTGGGATTACAGGCATGTGCCACGACACCCAGGTAATTTTGTATTTTTAGTGGAGATGGGGTTTCACCATGTTGACCAGGATGGTCTCGATCTCTTGACCTCGTGATCCACCCACCTCGGCCTCCCAAAGTGCTGGGATTACAGGTGTGAGCCACCGTGCCCTGCCGTAATTTTGTATTTTTAGTAGAGATGAGGTTTCTCCATGTTGGTCAAGCTGGTCTTGAACTCGCGACCTCAGGTGAGCCACCTGCCTTGGCATCCCAAAATGCTAGGATTACAGGCACGAGCCACTGGGCCCAGCCTTTTTTTTTTTTTTTAAGACGGAATCTTGCTTTGTCACCTGGTTAGATTGTCACCACCTAGCAGTGGTACAATCTCAGCTCACTGAAACCTCTGCCTCCTGGGTTCAAGCAATTCTTCTGCTTCAGCCTCTCAAGTGCCTGGGATTACAGGTGTGCACCACCATGTCCGACTAATTTCTGTATTTCTAGTAGAGACATGGTTTCACCATGGTGGCCATGGCTGGTCTCAAACTCCTGACCTCAGGTGATCCACCCGCTTTGGCCTCCCAAAATGCTGGGATTACAGGCGTGAGCCACAACGTCCGGCCCTATACAGCACTATTATTTCACTTATTATTTTGTGGCGACCTTTCCCTGTTACCAATCTAAATATCTGCCTCATTGTTTATAAAGTTGTAAAGTTCCACTGTGGAATGCCATATAAAGTCATATGTAGTCATTTGAGACATTTCTTAATTTTCTAACAACACATCAATGAATATGCTTGTACAAATATTAATATATTTACATATTTGAACAATGGCTGAAAAAGGATAGATTCCTAGAAGGCAAATAACCAAGTTAAAGGTAAGTCTGGTGGGGTGGGAAAGAAAATAAAGGTAAGTCTAAAAATATTTATTCCATTAATGCCTCTATTCCTCTGCCTTCATTGCAGAGAGGCCAATAACTCTTGTTCATACTCCCACTGCACACAGTGTTCTGAACGTCTTTCCTTTTATTATTCAGCCTATAGTGGTGAAAAAAAATGCTGGAACAAATCAGGGCACTGCAGGAAACGATGCAAAGATGGAGAAGCAGTGAGGGAAACATGCAAAAATCTTCGAGTCTGCTGCATTCCATCCAATGACAACCACAGGCAAGTTCCTACGACATCTTCCACGCTCTTGAATGATTCATCACCAGGAATTCTGGATGATATTGTAACAGTAAGGTTCACTACAGACTACTTTGAAGTAAGCAGCAAGAAAGACGTGGTTGAAGAGTCTGAGTCGGGATGGGGAACTCAGACCTCTCTCCCAAATGTTCACCATAGCTCATGACTTCCTCTCGGATGTCACTCACCCCTGTCCTCAGAGTGATGAACTAAGTCACATATAGATAAAGCACTGAAAACACCACAGTGACCCTCCCACCCACCCCCACCAATATGTAATTCTATTAATAGATATAAAGAGCTATGTAAAAAAGTCTAAAATTGTCACTATTTCCAATGATAAACTCTTCAGTGCTCTTCTTGAAATGTCAAATTATTTCCACAAGTTTTAACCTATTTTTAGTATTTCTTGTTTGCTAGTGACCTATGCACCACCTCAGTAGCTTAGTTAACTATTCCAACAACAATTTTTTTATGTGTCTTCCTGTCTTCCCAGCAGGTAAGTTTTAATAGCAGCGTAAGTGGTCATGATCAAAATTCTAAATCTTTGCATCTGTGAGAGTAGCTACTGGGACACTAAAAGCTTTTTTTTCTAGAACAGGAGACACTTCAAGTGAAAGCATTCATTTTCCTACTATGGTCTTGGGGCTATGTTTCATCTCTCACTGTAGGAAGTTGGCTGTCCCAAGTGTGAGCTATGAAGGCTCCTCTTTGTCCCAGTGGCTTCAAGGTTGAAATAGAAGCTGCTGAAAAGCTTCTGTGGCTCCATAGACCCATTTCTTTGACCAAGTCTTGATCTTACATGGACATCCAAAGGTAAGGATGCTCCTCAGTTGTGGGTGAAAGGATGGGTCATTTGTCCACCTGATTACTGAGAGCTTTACTTGTCTCCCTCTGATACCAAAAGAAGTTCTCACACCCTGTCCTATCCACGTAACTCTACCACAGACATCATTGTTACAAATCTTCCAATTTTGCTCTTCCCAAGTACCTAAAAAACCAGCCAACCCATTACCAGTGCTCATGTATTACTATAGATCCATACCTAGGCAAGCCTTCCTTCTACTGGAAAGATTTCCCTTAACCACTGGCTTTTAGGCCACCGCTACATAAGGCTGTAATGCAGCACTTCTGTCTGGTGCTAGCCCGTCATGTAGATCATTCTACAAATCTGGCCTTGCTTTTTCCTCCTTTGTTGATTAACTGGAGAAACCCCTCATGACACCATTACTGTGTGATGAAGGAGAGGCAATAAAACAGGAATGGGTGTCATAGGGATCTGAACCATCTGCTTCTGCAGTTTATGCTTGCCAGACCTGCTAAGTTCCAGTTTTGAACACAACACTTTCACCTAACATTGAAATGCTTCTTCACAGGTCTAATTGTATTGTCCAAGGGGTTAGATAATACCTAATTCATGACGGGAAATTTGGGTCTCATTATTTTTTTAAACTTCTTATTCCTGATCAGTCTGCTATTTGAAGTCTTTGAAAGTCTGAATCTCTAGCCTGTGATTTCTGCTTACCTTAACTCATGGTGCCTTATTTTCTTGTGTGTTTTGTGAGTTGGGACTCTGGTCTGTCCATTTTCCACAGAAGTTTAGTTGAGTAAACTAGATGAGTCCTAAGTCAAAGGTCTACTCCTTTGTTTGCTTCTGTTTGGTACTACGAGTCTGGGACAACTTTAAGCTTGTTTTTTTTTTGTTTTTTTTTTTGTTTTTTCCATATGATCCATATACTGTGAATTCAGGCTGAGACACTATGTGAGATCTACCCTGAGGTAATAAATTCTCAGTGAAGATTTTTTTCTATTTGCTGAGTACTTAGGTTCAAAACTAGGCAATTTTCCTTGAAAACCTCTGGTGAAGGAGAAGGGATGCTATATCTGCTTTATTTTTACACTGCAAATGTAACACTTTAAAGACAGGTTTATGTAGGGATCTTCTACTAGACTCATATTTTTTCAGAACCTAGTCACTGCCTTCTCTCCCCTGCCCACATCCACCTTGGCCAAAGACGTGGAAACCGAAGCTCAAGTTCACCTGATTCAGCAAGTGTCTTTGTGACAAAAGCCAGCTTCAGTTACTGCCTTTGAAAGAGTGCCCACTTGCACTTGGTTTTAATATTCTTGGCCTTACTTTCTCTCAAGGTTAAAGATGCCTTAAAGTTTTGTTGTATATTTTAAGTAAGTTTTTTCACTATTTTCAGTGGCAGGATCAGCCTGGGTTCTTCAGCCACTATTCTTCCTGAAACAGAGGTCCAAAACCAACACTTTTATCCAGATTATAGATTTTGTTGTTGGGATGGGTGGCAGCACCAGAGGAAGGAGAAAAAAAGACCATTGTCAAAGGATGAGACTATGGCTCAATGTCTAAAACCAAAATGCTGAAATGATTGCTTTCTTAAAAACAGGAGAGCCATGCTGCTCCATCATAAGTTCCTTCAGCAGAGCAAAGTGTTGAACTTATACGGCATTTGGGGAACACATTTTGAGGGAATTGTGTTGGCTACAGAGGTGGGAATTGGTCAGTGACAATTTAGAAGTGTGTACACTGAAATGAATTCGAACCTCATTGGCATAATCAAAGCATCATGCTATCACTGACAACTAGCTTTCAGAAGTGTGTTCACTGAAGCAAGTTGTCATTGATCAATGAAAAAAGTTTAAAACATTTCAAGGTATTTGCTTGTTATAATGACCATAGGACTATCAGCCCGTTCCTAGGAATGTGGAGAGTTTTTATTCTCAGATGAGAACAACCCCAGAAGAATCCAATGGACAAATAACAGAAGAGGAACCCCAAAAGATGATGGAGAAGGGGCAGCCTGAAAGTTAGGAGGAAAACAAAGAAAGGGTGAAACCACAGAAGCCTAGGCGGTTAAGGTTTTCAAGGAGAGAATAACCTATAGAGGAAATGCTGCCCAGAGGCAGATTGAGATACACGTTGAGGAACATTAGGAAACTTTCAAAAAGGAGGTCCAGCTGCACTTGTTTTATGTTTTTGTTTAACTTCTGGACAAATACTTATAGACAGGTGCAAAAAATAAATCCTCTTTTGCAACCCAGAACTCACTGTTTAGTAGGAGTTTTGATACATATAAGAAGGAATAATATTATGAAAATAAAAGGAGACCCACTAGTGAGCTTGGCCAGAGCCAATTCAATCGCACAGTAAGCACAAAGGCAAATTGTAATGAGTTGAGAAGAGTCAGAAAAGTAGAGAAAGATAATGGGTAAGTACTACTCTACTTTCGACAGAATTTAGAACTTATTAGTGGGAGCTAAGTCTTTAAAAGTAAAATTAAAATTTTATATTAAAAAGCTGGTATCAGTTGTCATTGGAGGCATAAGCCTCTTAGGTTTTGAAAAATTAGAGGACCTTCACTATCCACAACAGCATCCAATATTCAAAGACCATCTGCAATAACCACCAGACAGACCCTTCAGCCTCACAGCTTGAAACCAGCACAGCTTAGTCCACATTACAACAGGTCTGTTGGTTATAAAGTTTTTTCATGAACTAGGTCAAAGTTGTCTACAAAACCTCCACCTACTTCCCTATGTATCCATCCCACCGGTTGTAGACCCTCTCTGAGTTCTACATGGCACAGATTAAGTCATAATCTGCCTAAACCCTTCAACCCTCCCTTATTGGATTCATTCTTCCCCCTTCCTCACTGGTTTGTCAAGCTTCTCTGCAATTGTTACCCTGGTTTTCCAGTCTTCTCTCTCACAGGGCCCATCCAGAATGAGACAGGCATTGTCACCATGCAAAGCCCAGTCTCTCACTGTGATTTCCACTGGATCAAAGACAGACAAGGATGGCAGGTACATGAATTTTAATGAGGGCGGTTGACAGCAGGTCTCGGTGCCCAGGGAGCTTGAGAATGGTAATCACCAGCACTCAAGGCAGCCTAGGCCACTGCTTCTCGTAAGACCAGTCAGTATTCTCCTCTTTGCCAGAAATGCTTATCCTCATGTAGGACTGGAGGCAGCAGGACTGATAATTTCTGCAATAGAAGTACGGCTGTTCATTCTTTCTGCAAGAGGCCCTACAGATTCCACTGTTACCCATGCATCGAAGGATGTGATGTTTGCCTGGCAAAAGAAAAAATACATATAAACAGTTAATTTCCACCTAGGAAAGACATAAATCTGATACGTTGGGCAGCATCCTAAAAGCCTAAAGGGGAAAAAAAACCTAAAGAGTAATAATGACTTCCACTTCCAGAGACCTCAGGACCTAAGGAAGGACACAGCCATGAATTCCCTGGGTTTTCTTTTTGCCTCATCAAGCCCAGACTTGTGCTGGAGAGACTGGCAACCTAGAAACACAAACCAGTGCAGACATAGAGTCTCCCAAGAAAAGTCTCCTGCCTGCAGCCAAAGAACCAGGAAAGGTCAACCTAGCAAGAAAGAACATTTCAGACAATAACTGCTCTGCTCCAGGAAAAACCAAAGACAAAACTACACTCCCACTCATACATCCACCAAAGAAGGCCATGCGGGGAGCCTCAAATTCTGCCCTCTCCACGTTGTAAGGAGGTGTGGGGAGCAGGGAATGTTATCACTGCTGGATGGTCACAAGGCCCATCACCATCATGCAGTGTCGATAGGAATCGTGTGGGGAACCTCGATTTCCCCTGTCTGGTGGGAAGAAGGCATCCATCTCTCTACCTCCCTGATAGGGTTGTGACAGAGGGGGCCTGGTGTAGAGTCAGGACTTTCACCACCACACAGTAGTAACAGGGCCACCATTCCCTGCTATGTGACTTGGAGGCCACATGGGGAACAGAATGTACCTCCCCATCCCAAACAAGTAGTATCAGAGGAGATACACCCGGACTTCCACCCCCACCTCGCAGTATCCAGGCAGCACCCCACTGTCCCCACCAGAGCCATGTCAGAGGAGGCAAGCCAACAAAGATCATTGAAATACAATTCAATATCTCATAACACAATACCAAAAATATCCAGGTCCCAGCAAAAATTACTCATTGTAATTATAACCAGGAGAATCTCAACTTTAATCAAAAAAAAAAGACAATCAACAGAACTGAGAGCAACCCATGTTGTGTGTATCTATAGTTCATTCCTTTTACTTCTGAGTAATATTCCATGGTACGCATGTAGTACAGTCTATTTAACCATTTGTCTATTCAGGGCCATTTTGGTTGTGTCCAGATCTATTGGGAGTTCGGGGTTTTTTTCTAAGACGATGTGTTTCTTTATTTAACAACTTCTCCCCCAAATAAAATGCTTTTGAAAATCCTTATCGTTCATAAATTAAAGAGGATCCAACCTGATAATAGGTGAAATTTTTGGATAAAATGACAGGAACATTTAAACATACAATGGACTAAATAAAGGGTTTTTTATACTCTTTCTTCTAGTAATAATAAAATAGGTCATTTGGAACAAATATCTGGCAGACAAAATGTAGACACTTTTTTACTTTTCTCTTTTTTTTTTTTTTTTTTTTTTTTTTTGAGGCAGAGTCTTGCTCTGTTGCCCAGGCTGGAATGCAATGGCGTGATCTCAGCTCACTGCAACCTTTGCCTCCCTGGTTCAGGAGATTTCCACACCTTGGCCTCCCATGTAGCTAAGATTACAGGCTCATGCCACCACACCCAGCTAATCTGTGTATTTTTAGCAGAGATGAGGTTTCACCATGTTGGCCAGGTTGGTCTCGAACTCCTGACCTCAAGTGATCTGCCCACCTCAGCCTCCCAAAGTACATTGTACCTGGACTGTATACATTTTTTAAATTTGTCAGAAGGCATTAAAAGACAAGATAATGAAGGATGAGTGGGCCTCACAAACACTAATTGCACATATGTATGGTATACAGTGTGGTAGTTCAATACACACATAGAAAGTGTAACCATCATATCAGGGTAATTAGCATATCCATCACTTCAAACATTTATCATTTCTTTGTGTTGGGAACATTCAAAATCCTCTTCCTCACAATAGGCTGGATGCGGGTAGCTCACACCTGTAATCCCAGCATTTTGGGAGGCTGAGGTGGGTGGATCACCACAAGGTCAGGAGTTTGAGACCAGCCTGGTCAATATGGTGAAACCCTGTCTCTACTAAATATAAAAAATTAGCCAGGCTTGGTGGCTGTAATCCCAGCTACTTGGGAGGCTGAGTCAGGAGAATCACTTGAATCTGGGAGGCAGAGGTTGCAGTGAGCTGAGATTCCACCACTGCACTCCAGCCTTGGTGATAGAGCAAGAATCTGTTTAAAAAAAAAAAAGAAAAGAAAATATACAATAAATGATAGTTAACTACAGTCACCCTACAGATCTACGGAATACTAGAGCATGTTCCTCCTATCTAGCTGTGATTTTGCATTTGTTAACCAACCTCTCCTTATCTTCCCCTCCCACTTACCCTTCCCAGTCTCTGATGAACACAATTCTACTCTCTACTTCAATGAGATTCACAGCTTTTTTTGTTTGTTTGTTTGTTTGTTTGGAGAGAGTCTTGCTCTGTTGCCAGGCACCATGCCGGAACGCAGTGCTGCAATCTCGGCTCACCGCAACCTCCACCTCCCAGGTTCAAGCAATTCTCCTGCCTCAGCCTTCTGAGTAGCTGGGACTACAGGTGCGTGCCACCACACCCAGCTTTTTTTTTTTTTTTTTTTTTTTTTAGACAGAGTCCTGCTCTGTCGCTAGGCTGGAGTGCAGTGGCGCAATCTCTGCTCACTGCAACCTCCGCCTCCTGGGATGAGGCAATTTTCCTGCCTCAGTCACTCAAGCATCTGGGACTACAGGTGCGGGCCACTAAGCTCAGCTAATTTTTGTGTTTTTAGTAGAGACAGGGTTTCACCATGTTGGTCAGGATGGTTTCCATCTCTTGACCTTGTGATCTGCCCACCTCGGCCTCCCATAGTGCTGGGATTACAGATGTGAGCCACTGCACCGGGCCAAGATCCACATTTTTAAGTTTCCACATATGAGTGAGAACCGTAGTATTTATCTTTCTGTATCTGGTTTATTTCACTTAACATCATGCTCATCCATGTTGCCACAAATGACAGGGTTTCATGCTTTTTTGTGACCAAATAGTATTTCATTGTGTGTATATGCAAACTTTCTTTATTCCTTCATCTGTTGATGCACATTTAGGTTCACAATCCATTTTTCAGCCCACTTCAGAGGCAGGAGCTGCATAATCTTTTCACAGTTTTGCTGCCTGTCTGTGAGCTGGGACACTCAGGCTGCCCGTGGGAGCTACCTGTGCCCCAACACATTGGATCATCACTTGATTCTGGCCATTCTATGAGAAAGGGACAATTCTCAGGGAAGCCTGAAGTGAGGCATGAGCAGAGATCTGGAGTAGAAAAAGGATTTTTAAGTTGAGAAAACAGTGAGGTTTGAGGTGGTATCATTCCTTGCCTCTTTTAGACTTTCTTCACTCTCTATCTAGCAGAATAATTGTCTTGTCATAGCAGTTTGTTAATTTGTATTCCTGGGGTCTAAGGCAGAAATGTTTGTTTGTTCTATTGTGGATTCACATTCATTCTGATTAAGGTGAGAGCAGTGGCTTTTTTTTAATTTTTAATTTAATTTTTTTTTTTTTTTTTTGAAATTTACAATAACATTGTCTGAATTCAGTTGGGATGGTGTCTTTTGGTGTCTATATTTTTAAAAAATAGAAGGCAGAGAGAATTGACTTAGGTTAGGTTGAAAACAAAAAGAATGATAATGATAATTACTGTTCTTACCACTCGCGGACCATCAAAACATCATGAAATGTGAACAGTGGAAACACTGTCTCTGAACATAAGTTTTTTTGTTTTGTTTTGTTTTGTTTTGTTTTTGAGACAGAGTTTCGCTCTTTGTTACCCAGGCTGGAGTGCAATGGCGCGATCTCGGCTCACCGCAACCTCCGCCTCCTGGGTTCAGGCAATTCTCCTGCCTCAGCCTCCTGAGTAGCTGGGATTACAGGCACGCGCCACCATGCCCGGCTAATTTTTTGTGTTTTTAGTAGAGACGGGGTTTCACCATGTTGACCAGGATGGTCTCGATCTATTGACCTCGTGATCCACCCACCTCGGCCTCCCAAAGTGCTGGGATTACAGGCTTGAGCCACCGCGCCCGG